CATAACTGGAGCATTCGGAGATTGTCGTTCCGATGAGCGTGAATGGGTCATTCAGAACCCATCCCTTCCCCATGAACATCGCTTACGTTAGAATTAGTTGAAGACCAATCTTTCCACAGGCGTTACCGAAATCGGTCAACGTTCGCTCCTCTTGGCTGATGTTTGGTGTTATGAGGGCGATATCGTCAGCAAAGCGAAAATGGTTTAATTGTAGACCTTCAATTTTCACTCCCATATCGCCCCATTCTAATGTTCGCATGACGTTTTGTAGGGTGGCAGTGAATATTTTGGCGAAATTGTATCGCCTCGTCAATCCCCTCTTCTCAGGTCAATGGTGATATTGTTGTAGAATGGAGATATTTTGGCCGTGAAATCATTATAAAGCTCACGAAGGATCATTATGTGCCAAGTAGGGACGCTCTGGCAATCTAGAGCTTCTACAACCGCTTCTTTTTCCGCTGAATTAAAGACTTTCTTCAGATCGTTGAAAGTGAGAGAGAGTGGTTATTTGTACTCGCGTGAAACTTCAATGAGTCTTGTAATTGTGTGAATGTAGTCTATGTTACCAAATCCTTTTCGGAACCTGCTTGTTCGCATAGCTGTCCTTCGTCCAGTGTTCTGTCAATCCTGGTTAGGTTGACTCGAGTAAAGAGTTTATAGACTACTCACAGCAAGCAGATTGAGCGATAAGTGCCTATGTCGTAAAGGTCTCCTTTTTGAACAACTCTAGGTTCTTGCTGGTTTTCCATTGAACGGGAGCCTTGCATTCCGACAGGTAGCGAGTGAAGAACCGAGCCAGGGTGTTGATGAGAACTGACAGTAGGTTCTTCAGGTGTTCTGGTCTGATCCTGTCTGGACCGGATGTTATTCTGTTCCTCACCGACGGTATAGCATGCCGGATTTCGAAAGGGAGGATCGGTGGAAAGACATATTTATCTTCTTTCAATTTATATGACGGTAAGCAGATATGGCTAACGAAGAGATCCGCGTAGTATTTGTGGATGATTTTCTCCTTAGCTCTTTTGGAAGCTGTGAGTATTCCGTTAGGGCATCGGTGTGCAATCATCTTGGTTTTATAATTGGCGAAGCGTTGCTGGGCTTTGCAAATGCCCTTCCCAGTTTCTGCAGCTTCTGCCATAACTGCTGCTCGTCTCTCTATGAGCTCTTCTCTCATCGCTTCTCTGCAGCGATTCGCAAGTTCGGACGTTGGGTTTCGGTTGCCTGTAGCTCGCGCGATTCCACGTTGACGTATCAGCTCGAGTGTCTGCGGAGACAAGCGTCTCTTCGCGACCATAGGACTCGCAGCTTTCATAGCGCTGACGTGAGGACATTTAACAAGCCGATCGTATTCTTCCTCAATGTCGTCGACATAAGTATCTTCTCAAGAGCCGACTAGTGATTTTAATACATCCCATTTCATGGTAGTTCTGGGACTTCGCTGTTTGAATTTCGCGGTTTTCTCTCCTCTCCGCAAAAAACTGAACGTTGCGAGAAGGAGACGATGGTCTCATCTCATGTAAAACTTAGGAGCAACAGAGACATCGATCAGGCAAAACCTTCGATTTACTAAGATGTTGTCTATTTCGTTGTACTCTCCATTGCGACACTCCCACGTCCATAGCTGAGACTGAGACTTTTGGGATTGCGAGTTACCATAGATGGCTTGAGTCGTCATGATAAACTCAGATAGCCTCTCACCCTGTCCATTCCACTGTAGTCCGTGGGTCCCAATGCGACGCTCTTTAAGCGTTCTTCTAGGTCCAGTTTTTTGAAAAAATCTCCAACAATGACCTTGAAGAATGTATGATCTTCTCTGAAGAATTATCAAGGCCCATATAGAACGCTTTAACTTCATCTACGTCATAGCTTGGTGTTGGCGCCTAAGCAACGAAGACGGTCAAAGCCGGCATAGAACCATATCTTTTCAACCGTAATCGCTCGATACGGGCTGTTAGTTGTTCAAACGAATCGATGTTCACGGTCAAATTTGATTTGACAACTGCGCCAAGGCCTCCGTCACCTCTGCAATCACGTGTTTCAAGAAACGGTTTTTTTCCGGTGTCATAAATAACGCGCAAAGCATGGCTTCCTTTCATCTCAGCCACGCCAATGACGTCGTACCTTATTTTTCTTGCTTGAATCAATTCATCTTCTACTACGGATTCGTGAGGAAGGGTTCTTGCATTGTAGGTAAAGATCGCCATTTTTATCCGTTCCGATCCTGCCTAGTTTGGCCCTGAGATTTTAGCAGCCTCTCCGTACTCGTTCTATCTGGCGCTGCCTTACCAAAGGCTCTCTCGGTTTCAGGGGAATGAGGCCCATATTCGTTGGTGTTTTTGGTATTTTGATACCCAAAGTATAGCTTGCCAGGCTCTAAACGTGGGGCTGGTACTCACGAGTAGCTTGCCAGTCTCTCTCGGAGGAGCGGGAGGAGCTTATTTGTTGGAGCGACTCGTAACTGCCTCCCATATACTTCTCAGCCGCTTGATTGCAGGCTTTTGGCTGGCTTGGCCGTAGAAGTAGATTTTTGTCAAGTCGGCGCCCAAAAAAGCGCTGAGATTTGGGTAAAACATGGAATCTTATGACTTTAGGCTATGATTTAACAGCCTCTTTACCTTTTCTAGATAGCACGAACTTTTACGAGAGTCTCACTCGTGTCTCCAAAACATCAATTTTGATGTCTTGTACTCATCTCGGCACTTTTGTGATCAAGCTCCTACACACAATAACAAATTTTGTTATAAAAATGGCATTCCCTAGATATAATTCTTGTGCCTTAAGTACTCCACCGTTACTCGAGCAAGGAAAACTCAGCAAGCCTAGTGAGGTTTTCTATTCAAATGGTGTGACTTTGCTCTCAAATCGCAAATTTTATGCAGGTTTTTGAGGAACGAATAGATATGTGGGCTATGTAACTGTACTGTGCAGAAATTTTGCTTTGCTTTTTGCATGTATCGAGTCCACTAAAACCTTATTACTTCATTCACCTCCTTAAATTCTGAAAAATAATCGTTTTACTCTCGCCTCATAGTGGATGCGCCCGACAAAAACATCGTCACGTATACCCAATGGGTGCAGTCTATTACTCCCGTCTACCAACGATTGCAATCTAGCCATTGGACTACATTTTTATTGAAAAACTACTCCGGCGTTCATTTTATTTCATCAATGAATTTCGATTAATGCTGAACTGTTGACAATTATTGCTGAAAAATTCCAATTAATCGAAATTTGTCGGTGCGATTTTGCTGTCAATCCTCTCATTTTGCTCTTTTTTTTGTGGAAATTACGATTCGATGAGCAGCTGATCCTTGAAATATTATAACGAAGTGAGCAAGAATATAGCGAGAGCAGAGTGGCCACTAGTTCTTGTTATCCAAGCTCAATCGAAGATTTTTTAAGATTTGCGAAAATGAGTGCCTGAATTAACCTCGCCGCTCATCTGCTGTTTTTTTTTTGTTGAAATGATTTTCCGTCATGAATCTCTTCAACATCTTATTGTGTAATTCCAACGATATGAACAATATGAGAAGAACGGAACTGATGAGCGATAGAGAGGCAGCGACACACTGAAAGTTGTCAATATTGTGCAGGTCTCTTCTATCGTAAAACACAAGACCTTCATTCACTTATAGCCTTTACAGTGATAAGTTATGTAGGGGAATTATATTCTCCATTCGATCGCTTTGTTAGAGATCTTGCTCATGCGCTTTTAATCTGATAAGGATTTTACATGTTTTGAGCCGTTAAGATCGCAGTGCTAAACAGGCGCCAGTTTCATCCTGCCGGGACTCATCAATAACACCGTCCGCACCATCATAAGCTCGACTGCCAGTCACTAAAATGTCAGGTAATTTCATCATCCGACTTGCGGTGACTTATTGCTCGGCGTCGATTCCTCCATAGAGGAGTATAGCCTCAAAGGATCGGCTGAACCGAGGATGGTGCTACTGATGAGTCCCGTTAGAATGAAACAGGCTCCTGTATAACACTTAGACTTTAATGGCTCAAAACATGTTATATCCTCAACAGAATTATGCTCTTTTAAGCTTTATTGTCTTTTTATGTGAGTTGCTCTGCTGCCAACAATTGAAGACTTTACTGTTTGTCTATTTCATCCTATCGAATTATATTTCTTCTTCACTTGCAGCACAATTTTATACTATTTTTCCACATTCCATAACTTAGAAAGGCTAATTGTGACTTTTAGAAGGCTTAGCTTCAACCGGCATGAAGAAAGCCGGCCCCTGATTTCTCGATGGTCATCTTAGTGATTTCACAGTTTTTTAAGAACGCTCCAAGCATTCCACAATGCTCTGGATTACTTGTGATGTAAAGTTTGGATAGCCTACCATAGGTGTGCGACGATTACGGTGAGTGAGTAAAGAGAAGCCTTAAATCATAGCCGACGCCATATTCAAGCGGACCGTAAGGCTGCACTGCTGATAGATTTGAGAAGTAGAAATGGACTGCTCCGTTTGAAACAATGTAGTATAATATGAACAATAGCAATGCGATACAATACGAAACAATAACGATAGATGTAAGCGTTAAATCTGCACAGTGTTCACAATGAATATGGTGCTGATTCAAGAAAAGACAGAAGACATCAGGTAAGCCTACACGAGAAAAGCGTTCAAGAAAGAAAACAAAGTTAGAAAAACGCCTAGATCTTTGAGTAAGAACTAACCATACAATTGAAATTTCAGAATCTCTACAGTCCTTCACTAACTTCACTGTTTCTGTTTCGCGTTTTTTCCAACTATTTTTTCTTCTTTCATCGCTTTTCTTGGGTAGGTTCGCTTTTACTGGATGCCGTCTTCTGTTTCTGCTAGGGTCATTGCTTACTTCAATGTTAATTCATTGATTAGCTTGCTTAGATCAGACCGATGTTAAATTAGTGGCAAAGTGTGCATCGTGCCACCGCTACTTCTATACATGTATTCACTATAAATTCAGTATACCTCATGCATTACAATTAATGCATCGTCCTTATACATGCGTCGGTGGTGCAACGGTTTAGCCCACGCTCCCGGAAAGAGTGAGATCTGGGTTCGAATTCCGGATGACGCGAATGTTTTTTCACACAACTCTACATTATTGGGTTTAGTGTAACATCATAACACCGCAATACGCGGTCAAATAAAATAAATTCTGAATGATTATTAAAACATCATCCTTATTTATCCTTGGGGATAATTCTAGATATTTCGAATTTGTGAATGTTATCAGTTTGCAAACCTAAGTTTGTCAGCCTCGGATTTTTACATGGAAATTCGCCAGTCGATAGCTTCAAATCTACTGACGTCCGCTTATGGATCGATTCAACAAGCCATGCAATGTACAGTCACTGATCATAGAGCGATGATATAGGGCTTTGCATGTATAATTTTTCGAGGTTTTCGCTTGGCTTATACTATAGTATTCACACATTGGTTAAACTAAACTACACACGATGTCGATGACTTTGTTTTCATCGCTGCTTGTTCTGTACATCGTCCATGACGGCGTCATCGCACTTATTCAATGTAAAAAATGTGAGCATGACTTTGAAACGGACCAAGAAATGTGAGTTTGAGGTTCGAAATTATGTTTTTCACTAATGAGCTTAAAAGATTCACCATTAGTCGGAGCGAAAGAAGATTTGACTGTAAAAAAAGGTAGTGTGAAAGGAGAATGAGAGAGGAGAGATAGAAAAATAGACAGAAAACAGAGAGACGTGAGAATGAGATTAATGAAATGAAAAAGCTCGACGCATTTCTATTGCTTATTACTACTTTTGAACTTCATTTAACGAAGTTCTCTAACGAATCACTTCAGGCTACCGTCCTGCCTATTTTTACAGATGATTAGTTGTTCTAAATATGACATATCTTTTCATATGACAGCTCAGATTTTGCTTTTGTTTCAATCCTCAAATGATCTAACGGGTAGTAAGTTTGAGATAAATTGCTTTCCAAGATGTGAACCTGATTGTACTGGAACGATGTGCTTCTACTCGGAATATTACTACACTGAACCTGGACGAGTATTCACCCGCAAAGTGAGTGGACTAAAGTAAATTTTTGGCCTTTCAGACTTCAGAATTTAGTTATTTTTGATTAGGAGAGGGTTGATGAAAAACTGGTCTCATTTGCTGGAGAGAAACTTTCCACAAGAGTGTTAGCAACCATTGGAAAGTTGAGACTTAAGGCTATAGTCCCACGTCTCCGGTTTTTTTTTTCTATTCCTTTATAACGCTGTAAGATTCAAAATGAAATCATGTTCTTTAAAATCGCGCGTACCATCCCCTTATCTCGCTTATATTGAACTGTACAAAACTCCTACCCTAGAGTGCTAGCACTCAAACTATAGCACAAGTTTCAAGAAGCTCAAAAATGTGTTTGCTTTTCAAAAAGCTCGTTTGATCTTTGCTCTTTTTCGATCTTTCGATTTGTGCATTAAACCTCGCCGGACAGAGCTTTCCTTAGACTACTAGTACTCATCTGATTGCGTAATGTTTTCTGATTCCAGAAATGTGCTTTTTTTCTACAAGTACCGTTTAGTGGAGAAAACAATATTGAGTTTTACACTTTTGTCAACGTTGTTTACAAGAGATTCTACTAGGCGACCTAGACGAGGGCCGTGGCAGGAAGCTTGGCAGGACGGGCGGGAGGACGATCGATATTTTATTATTCATTTGGGAATTTATTTTTTGTTTCGAAAGAAATCCGAATAAGACGATTTATTGAGATACTACGAAAATTGCTCTACAAATTGACATGCTTTTCGGCTTCCAGCGAATTACACACGTGATAAAGATGAAAGCGAAAGACGAGTGTGAAACATAATGATTAATCTGGATGCTACAGCGTTATAGAGGGGTATTTTGAAAACCGGCACCATGGGGTTGTAGCCTTAAGTATCAGCCTTCCTATGATTTTTGACACTCCTATGAAAAGTTCTTTGTCAGCGAATGTCAGCGACCTATGAAAAGTTCTTTGTCAGCGAATGAGGTTGGTTTCTCATTTGCCACCTCCTAATCAGTAAGAATCCAAAATTTTCTTTTTAAGTGATCTCTTTGTAGGTTCAAGGATTTTATTCATTCGGACTTTTATCTTTCAGCGAGAATGAAATTTAACCATTCCGTATTTCTTCCTGCTAAGTGCTAAATAGCAATTTACCAGTTCTATAGGTCAAACCTACATAATTACTCAAAATTCATTCTCACAATTCTACGGATCAAACTAAGTGCATGCTTTGCCTCTCATGGTTAGAAGATTGCGAAAGGTTTTATCCTGACTCAACACAAGCTAGCTGAATTGGTTTTTTGCACATCATAAGCTGATGGAAGGAGTCAGTTTAACAGCGACAATGGGCCACATCCAACACGCTCACTTAATCTGACATTGAACTGACATCTCCAGTTTCCAGTTGGAAGCCAGTGTGCTGACATTTACGACATTACAGCAGAGTGACTCATGACTAGTTTCTCGTAAGAGACAGTAAAAAAAAAGAAGCGTAAAGTAAAATCTAATATTGTCCATCCATCTAAAAGTAAGGACTGAGCACATTATGGAGCCAATAGAAAACTTATTCGAAGAGGTCCAAACTGAATGATAACCAGAAAGTCATAGACGGTACAGAGCAAGATCCTTTCTTAATGCTAGGTTTATTTCAACCGAGCTACCTGTCGCTCAACGATGCCAAATCATAAAGACTAGCACTAATTATCCAACTAGTTGAAATTTTGAAATCAGTGCTTGTAAATCAAATGCGTTTTCCTTTACTTGGTAAATAAGCAGTCGAAAGAATTCGAACTTCTATAACGTTATCTCATATAGGGATGCATAAGTGGAGTGGCATCTTCGAATGGTTGCCGTATCAATCAAGATGGTCAAGTTTTATGTATATGCGAGTGAGTGAGCAGTACAGTTGCGCCAGCTATTTTGCTTTGTGACTTTTTTCTTATTTTCTCAGTTGATGACCAACCAACTTAGAAAGTAAACATTCTAATCATCATCTTGGCATTCAATCCTTCACAGTGCCGATTATTGCAATGGAGATCAAGCGGCATTGAAAGCAGAAGAGGCAACAATACTGCCGTACCATGTATGTACTCGAGAAATGGTGAATGGTATGGAGCCACCACAGCGCTGGATTCCACCGTGTGCTGGAAACTTTTGCACATACAAGAGGAGTATGGTATGTCCAGCATACTTGTCAATTTTCCCAGCTTTCAGTTTTATACTTCATAAAATGTGTAGCAGGGCGGCAGCCCAGTGGTTAGTGATGCACGTCTTTAAGAGGTAGGTGTTGGTTCGACTCTTCATCACCACTCTACCGCAAAGTCGCATGAAAACGCCTTACTTCGACTATACTCAAGGCCACAAGAAAAGTCAATTCAACCAGCAATTTACGACAATCGTATCGGCAGAAGGCTTGCCATGTGCGATTCTTCTGAGACTGCAATGAGTTTGATATTGATTAGATCATAAATGTGCTTCTGAGTAGAAGTTTCAAACCTGTTTCCAGTTTAGGAGACCTTTTTAGAGAATGAATAACTAGTATATATTGCACAACACTGGAACATGGCCAAACAAAACTGTGGCAGGATATTAAGGGATTTCAATCAATCATCATATGCTAAAACAACCACTTAAGAATCCTTTCATCCTTTCCTGCGTAGTTTTGCTTAGGAATATATTTCTGTGTAGAACTTATTTGGATCTTTGTCAAATAGGCAGGTCTTTTCACTAATCCAATAAGCGTTCCTTAAGGAACATGAAAAATGAAATTTGATTGTTACATCTTTGAACTTTTTGATTGCAGTTCACACTCGACAATGGCACCGTTGGCCATTCGCATTCAAAGGAATGCTCGGCGAGCAGTGATTTCGACCTCTTTTACTCCGGCTTACCGTTTTTATTCTATCCAGAATGTTGTGCCAAGTTGGAGTACGGTGGTCAACCGGACGAGACCATTTGCTATGGTTCAATGGTGGGTAAAAAACTGGCCATTTGCTGCATTGGTCAAAAATTGCTTTTGAGAATCAAGCCTGAAATAAGGAATAACAATGCACTACGTAAATACAATTTGTCAGCAGCCGTTCTTTCTTCTTCTTATCTCAGAGACATCAATATCAAACAAGAAGAAGTTTGTATTAAGGCGGAGCTGTCAGGAACTCACTAGTGTTGAAATCGTATATGAATACTTTTCCATCATCCGCATCAAGTTCAATGCTTTGAAAACAACAAGTATTCTGCTTTTTTTGAGCTTCAGTAATTATGCAGTATCTTGAAACTCTAAAATTTCTGTGGTGTATTTGGCTTTAAAAGGACTTTGCAGCGCAATGTAGCAAAAATAAAATGAAATATTGTTTTACGCTCATGCATTTTTGTTGGACAAGGCTTTTCCCTTAGACATTCAGTAATCACTCGTTAGTCTAAAATTCGACAATTTCAACGGTATACTTGGTTTTTGAGAAGAAACAACTTTGAAGTGTACTGTAGCATTCAAAAGAAGATGAGGCACCTCACACGATCCGCATTTCTCGCCGGCTGAGATTTGTGAGTGGTGTGAAATGATTGTGGGGCTGATTCATCGAGCAGCGCAATTCACATATGGAGTGCGATTTTTGTTATAAAATCCAGGGTTTTCCTCCGCTTTTGGAAAATTCCAGATAAGACACCTGACTGTGAAACTCCTAGATTTTCTGCACATTCATATGATTTTCGTGCATAGGGAAAGAGCTGCACAGACTTAGGCTTAATGGCGGATGCCAAAATAATAAGAATCTTAATCCTGCAGAACGATGAGGCAAAGTATTTTCTACAATTACAACGCAAAGAAATTTATAAGTCCCTTTGAATGGGAGGGATAAATTCTAAATAATCAACAGAAATTCACGCGGAAATGTGCTAAGTGTGAAACGAATTTTTCCAGTGCTATAACGCATGAAGAAGTTTTTTCTATGACAGTGCATATTTTGAGATTGTCGAACTCTATCTATCGAATGGCTATATGCAAACGAATACTATCTGAAAAAAAGCAGAATTTCTCAAAAGATAGAAAGAGAGTGGCGATAACGGAAA